GCTCCTGTTGCTGGGGAGCACGGGAGGGAGGACAGCGGACACCCGGCACCGAGAGCAAACAAGAATTTCCAGCAGAGGGGTCGGGATCTGCTCCAGCCCTCTGGCCCCCGAGCCCGCTCCCGCCCAAACTCACCGCCTCCCCAGAGCACGGAGATGCGGCTGTAGCTTCGCCAGAAGGCAGCGCGCCGCACGCCCAAACGCCTCTGCCCCCACGCTGCTCCCAAGGGACAGGGAAGCCGGCGCTAAACCCCTTCCCAAATCCCGCCCGTACCACGGGGCCTTTGCTCCCTCGGCGACTTGGCTTCCTTTTGACATGAAGGTCCAAGATGTTTGTGGGGACAGAAGGGCCGTGATTTGTGCTTGGTGTCATTTGTCTCCTCAAGGCTTTGCTCTTCTAGAAAGGAGTGGGTACATCCTCCGAATTCCTCCTTTCTGCTCGTCCTTCCCGACGCACAGCGCCGAGGAGTTGCCGCACCTCGCGGGAGGAAGGGGCGGGAGCATTACACTCGCCTGGCTTAATTACACGGCAACAAATAGAAGAAAAACAAATGAGAAAACCAGTACAGCCAACACCGCCCTGAGAATGATTTCCTTAGGTTCCCCATACCTTGACTTCCACGCATCCGTTCAAGGCGGCCCAGGACACATTCCCACTCCGGAGAAGCAGCCGCCGACAGCCCACGCTGGAGCCAGCCTGACCGACGGCAGCGAAGCCAAGGGCGCAGGGGTTCGCTCCGTCCCGTCTCCGAGGGTCCCCAGGGGCATGGGGGGATGTGGGCAACGGCCTCGTATGCAGCCGCAGCCGCCATTTTCAGATTTGGCAGCGCGGGCACCGGCCGACCAGCCACGCTGACGAGGGAAGCACAGGCAGCTTCAAACGCCAAAATCAATATATAGAAAAATAAACATCGGAGGCTTGTATTTGCAGAAAGCAAAGTAGATTCACGTAAGAAAAAATACATTTTGGGTTTTATGTTAACGGAAAACCACTCTTTGGGGAAAGCCCGCCACAGATCCAAGCAGCAGGTCAGGAGGGTTCACTGCAAGCGACAGCAGAAGGGTTGAGACTCCAAACGTTGGCAGAGGATTAAACACGGCCAGGAAGGTCAATGCCTCCTCGCACTGCCCGGCTGGCAGGCAGGGAACCCCCGGAACGCGCAGCAGGGAGGGACCCAGCTCTGCCTTTCTGCTTGGAGAGAAACCGATCTGATGAAGGGAGGGAGGGAACAGTCCTGGGCAGAGCTTCTGGCTTTCCATCCATTAAGGAGCACAGCCTCAGGGGCGATGCTTTTGCTTGCGTTCAGGTGTAGGGGACAGACTCGAAGTCACCATCAGGCTCAGGACAGTCCCGCTGCTGTCCAGGACCCCCGCGGCTCCAGCCACTGGTCCCACCCTGCTCCGCCTTGCACGGCTGCAAGGTCTCCTGCCGGGCTCCAGCCGGCCAGGACGCCGCTCGCCCGCCCTTTCAGCACCGGTACAGAGCGCGGCCTTCCCATGCCATAGGCTTTTATTCACCTTCCATATTGATTTTCTTCCAAGTGCCTTCCAGCCCCTACTTAGGCAATAAATTAGACTATTGCTCCTCCTCGGGCACGGAAATGCATTCCCACCTCGCAGCACAGTTGCTGTCACTAACCACAGCTTGAACCCTGCAAACGGCGCCTGGTCCCACAGCCACGCACCAAGCACCTGCTATGGACAGAACGCGTCTGCAGCCCATCCATCCGCTACAACACAAGGGAAAGCTCCCCGGCAGTTTAAGTATTGCAGGACCCCAATTTGCCTGCCGATCCAGCAGAGCTGAGGACCTCGCGCAGAACGCGGCACCAGCACTTCTCTTTCCAGGCTGGCCTTAGCGAGCGGGCGTCGCGCAGGGCTCCCCGCCTGGCGGCCCCCGCCTGCACACCCAGCTGTGCTCTCGAGCAGGACGGCCATCCCGCCATCCCGCAATCCCGCAGCCCCAGACACTCGCTGCCGCCCGGAGGAGGACGGTGGCTCCAGCCCACCCGCACTGCACAGAGCTACAGCCGGCGTGAACGGAGCAAAACAAAGGTTTTTGAGGCCATTTTCTGTGTCTGACGGTCGGTACCGTTACCGTGTTAGAGAATAGGGAGTGCTGCTAACTCAACATAATTAAAACATAACAAACCCCCGAGCGATGCCCAACAGCTGGTGTAACCACGCGACACAGATTTCAGACACATCGACCATTACGCACGCAAACATATCTTCTTCTCTGGCTAACTGCACAGAATTTAAATCCATCTTGTACTAATTGCTATAATTAAAAGGCAGCCCCAAGCGCAGCAGTCAGTAATTACTCTCTTTCAGAAGGTTTGCTTTTAGTAAAAACCAACCAAACCAAACTAAACCCAACCAAGCCAAGCGAGCCTCCTGTCCTTCCTCTGCCTCTCGTCCCCTCACTGGATGTGCTTTTGCTGGAGGAAGCTGCGAACGCAGGATGTCCCGTCCCAACCACAGCTGCACTCCAACATCAAAAGCCACGCAACCCTCAACTTCCGCGCGTTCTGTGCCGCCTCTGCAGGGCTCCCGCTGCCGGCCGAGGCTCCGGGCTCAGTAACAGCCCCTCCCGCTACTTCGCATGGGTATCTATTTCACTTACAAGCTGCATTTTTAATAACCTGCCCAGTCATTCAGGCTTACTTTACATTTTATTGCATTGCTTTATTTCGTTACAAAACTCTGTCATCTTTGAAGGAAGATCAGATCTTTTAATGCTAATATTTATTTTAAAGCAGGAATACTTACGACCTTCCAATTTCTTTCAAATTTAATGACCTTAAACTGAAATAATGACACATAATAATGAGTAGGTTTACATGGAGATATATATTAAAAAAAAAAAAAAAAAAAAAAGCAAGCATATTCCTGGAGACCAGAAGCCTGCCCCATCCCTCGGCTCCCTCCGACGCCTCCCCCCAGCCGAGCCAGGTAACTGGAGCATCAGCTCCTGCCCAGACCCACACCAGTGCTGTCCTGCGATTACTTTGAGAGGGCAGAGCAAGCTTCTGCGCGACGGGCGCGGGACGAGCGGCAAGGCACAGACCCACGGCCTCCAGCGGGCTCGCCGCTCCAGCGGGACTCCGGTCGCTTACGCCCAGCCTCAGAGTTCGACGGCCCCCAGCGCTGTGAACAAGAAACATCAGCACACCAGCCCGGTTAGGTGAAGGCAGTTTGAATGAGTTAGGCGAAAATTCAGCATTTTATTAAGTACCCAGACACACTGAAAACTGGAAAAAACTAGGAGGGATTTCTCAGCGTTCAGCCTTCTGCAGGGCTCGAGGCGTCGCAGGGCTGCAGCGCTAGCTCTTCTTCCGCTTGCGCTTGGGCAGCAGTTCGGCGGCTTCTGGCTCCCGGGGCGGACACGACTTTCTTTTGTTAACTCTCAGACTCAAAGTGCTGCTGGGGAAAAAAAAAAAAAAAACAACAGGGAAAATATGGTTTTGAAGATGCTCTAAACACGGCAAATAGTGAAGGCTGTATTAAAGCACTGCAAGCGGTACTCAGGCACACGCGCGCATGTGTTACTGGTGATGGTGAAGAGAAACTCCGCTCTGTTTTCCTCTTCGGGGGAGCCAACAGCACCCACGAACCCCAGCAGGGCCAGGGCATCACGGGGCCTCCCCTCCCATCACCAGGGACTGGGATGGAACAGGACAGAGCAGCACCAATCTTTCAAATTCCTTGTCCACAAGTGAGGAGAGCCCCTGGCGCCGACCAAGCCACGATTACGTTAGATCAGAGAAGGCTGACCTGGAACAGAGTCACCCTCAGCAGCACAGCCAGCGAGGACAAGGACGAGTGGGTTTGGTCATGGCTACCCAAGAAGGAAAGCGCGTGGGACTCCCATCTTTAAACAGGCTCTTTGCCAGGCACTCCTCTCATTTATGGACAAAGAATTTTCCACTGGAAACTTAAAGAAGTGTTTTCATTTTAGTCATAGTGTTAATGGTACAGAAACAAAATGTTAAACTAGCCACATTTGAATTAAGCAGCTAATTTCCATCATTCAGCCTCAGAGCTTAAAATTCCACCCAGTGTTGGCATGAAAGCTATCGCTCATCCATCAACAGCTATTGCTAATTAAACGTTCCTCATAAATGCACTCTTTTTTTTTTTTTTACCACTTGCTCAGATGAATCCATCCTGCAAGAACTATTCATTTTGGCTTGAACTGGAAATTCAGAACTGAAAATAACCACAGAAAACTCTCAAACAGCAAAGTCCGCATCTCTGCTGCCTGACGCACGATACGCACTAAGAGAGATTAGCAGGAACAACTCGTGTTTCGGAGCCCAGTTCAGCACCAGGATGGAAATGGAGCTCCTGCATCCATGAGACCGTAACCACGTCCAGGAGGATCAGCAGGGACCCAGCACAACCGGATTTAGTCTGCACTGGAGGTGGCAGTGTGATTAAATACCCGCACCCGCAGCCAACCTCACAAGCGTGATTCCCACAGCGCACGGCGACCGAAGGCGCCTCCGCTCCCTGGCTTCCACCCCCGGCATTCGTTCAGCGAAGAGGAGCACTCCTCTTAGCCTAGAAGCTGCTACGGCTTTAAAAGTTAATGAAGAGCAAAGGAGCATTTAACTCCGATCTGCCTTACAGGGGAATACTTCAAAAGCACGTGGGGAAAAAGGTCTCTGCACTGCTTGGCTGCACACCGAACTAGGACAAAAATGAGCGCTACGCTTTCCGTACCCGAGCGTTTCTTGCTAAGAATGAAGGCAGTGCTCAGAAGCCTCCCGAAGTCTGCGCAGCGCTGCTGGCATTTCAGAAGGTCTGAGCACCTGCAAGCGGAGGCAGGTACTCCCTGGCACTCAGTGCCTGCTGCAGGGCTCTGGCACCGCACGGCGAGTGCCCAAACCCGAGGGGACGCTCCGTGCCAGGGAAGGCAAAGCGCCCTCGCCGCAGGAGCCTTCCGGGAGCCCCACGGCCCCTCCACGCACACCTCCGTGTGCAGGAAGGACAGGAGACCGATTACTTCAGGGCTACTAAAATAGATTCAACTTTGGTTTACGTTCATTTTAATTAGGGTAAGAACATTCTTGTACTCTTAGGCTTTGAGCCACCGGTCGCATGGCATAGCGCCACCAATATTAAAAACGCAAAGCAAATGTACTTGACCTTCTACAGAAATGTGCAAACAGCGGTACTTTGGTAACCCAGATCCCTTCCCACGTCTCACGGTGCATTTTCTAATAACAAGGTTTGCTCACCCAGGGACAAGACGACCCTGACGACATACCACACCATCACTTATCCCCACCTCGGGTCGAGTCAGGTACAGCTTTGTTGCAATGACATTTCTGGCACCCTACCTCACCTTAGGAACTCAACAAATCACCGTTCCCACTGAAAAAGGCACAATATCCTGCTTCGGAGCTGCATCTTTCACACGAGTCTCTCGCTGTCTGCTAAGACATAACTATACCCAGGGAACCTGTTAAGGTCAGACCACCTTCAGCGTAACGCCTGAACAGACGAGGCGGCTGAGCTTGGAAACCCAACCCATACATTTCAACTGAGACCCAACCGTTCCACCTCACTTCTGCCATTTTTTCATCCGCTCAGGGAAAATAAAGGGCTGGCACAAGTTTTAAGCTTGTTTTATGTGGTCGAATTCTCTTCCAGAGGCCTTCAGCCTGAAATGGTACAAAGCCTGTAGCTCTCCTGCTAAGAACACTGGCAAATGCTGAAGAGGAAATGGTCACAAAATGGGCAGTGGAAGGATCCAGTCCCCGACACAGCACCGCAGAAACCATCCTGGGTTACGGGTGGGAGTACCAAACTGAGTTCTCCCACCACAAGCACCCTAGCACTCGCCTGGCACCCGCGCAGCACCCAGACACGCTGCAGGAGATGCTGGCCCACTGCTCTCACTGGGGAGTAAGAAGAAGAGTTAAAAAGCAGTGATTTACCTTCCCACTCCCAGGAACGCCCTGAACGACGTGAATTAAAGTTACTGAGCCATGCTTTCACTGCGGAGCCAAGAGCAGGCTGTTCATATTTGTATTGGGTTTGTGTGGCAAGGTCTCGGTAGTGGGAGGCTACAGGTTTCCACTGAAGCTTTAACTTGAAAGAGCTGATGAAAAGGCGTACCTAGTATGGGAACTCACGTTGGCCAGTCGCTACAGGTTTTAGTCCTGCATGGAAAAACCTTGCTCCTGGTAACACTCACCCACTGGCAGACGTTTTATACACTCCAGAGCAAGACAGCAAGACAACTGAGAGCCAATAGTTGAAGTATCTGGAAGGCTGAACTACAGCACACCACACAGCAGAGACAGCGTTCAAGCTACCCATTCCGCCAGAGCGCCGCTGTACACCCAGCAGCACTTGCACTGATGTAACTGCTGACGTAAGCCCAGTCCCCCTGGCTTGGCGTTGGTTGGTTTGGTTGGTTTTGAGAGTTTGCAAAATACAACTACTCTTGCAAGAACAAATTACTTAGGACACAGAATGAAGCAGAAATCTCATTTCGTTTAAGGCTAGCTTTACTGTTTTATATTCTGCCCATTTCTAGTTTTGATGCCCACATTTTTCCACAGCAGAATGGTAATTACCTTCTGTTCAGAAGCATATTAAAACACAAAGCCAAGAACTGGAGCTTCTGTATCACTTGGTTCTCTTGTCTTGCAAATACCCGATTATTACTCTTATAAAAATAAAGAGAGATGATGCCTTTCTGGCATAACTCAACTTTTTAAAAGTCTGGGCTGGTTATGAAACACACCACCCGCCTGCTCTTTGGTGTGCTGGCCTGTGCCTTCCCATGGCAAGTGTGCCAAAGCAGAGCCCTCATTCAACCTCCCGTGGCACTCTGCATCCCGCAGCCAACGCTTGTGCGGGGAACCGAACAACTGCCTTTGCAGCTGCAGATCTGCTTTCCTTGCCACCCCTCTGCACTTCCCAACCTGGCCGCACTTGATTGTCACTCAACATAAACCCACCACACGATTGAGAACTTCCCTGGGTGAACAAAACTATCAACGCCACAAATGATTCTGCTGAGGACGCACGTAACTGCTTGTTAACATCCGTTATTGCCAGGCAGAACACTCCATTCACAAACCCCAGTACTGCTTTCATTACTGACATTCCTATTTCTTCTTCCACGGAGGAACATGTTTTTCCAACTCAGGCGAGAAGCCACCGATGCCAGACCCTCAAGCCACAGCACGTTCTCTCCTGTACTGCAGAAAGCAAGTCTGCCAACTGGCATCTCCAGAATGGAGTTCAGGGAGTACAAAGAAAAGATGCAGAATAATTTGATTGTGCCATCACCAAAATTAACTGCAAGTCACTGACTGCTGATAAAGGCACTATAGTCCACCATCTGCCAGTTTGGAGATGGCAGTCTCCACAGACACAGAAAATACGACTGGGACGGCAAAGACTCTTAGCCTGGCCATTCACTTGTACAAGATTTCTCAAAACCACTTTTAAACTGGGTGTTTCTAATATAATGGTAGCCTAGCCACTACCTACAAAATTAAAGCTAGGTGTAATAAATAGAAGCCACATACTCCAGGCATCACATGGGCAATTAAAATACCATCAGAAGTACGTTAAATATCCTCCTACAGGAAGCACAGAATCATCAAAGCCTAAGTTTTCCCTCAGTGAAAGAGGCTGCAATGAATTCTTACAGAAAATACCGAGGAAGTACACAGTCCCCCATGGCAATTAATTACTGTTCTACCATTAAGCGCAACTTTGTTTTAAAAATCTACACCTCTCGCTACCATTGCTCACGCCGGTGCTGTCGCAGAGCAGTTCTCTCGGTGGCCGTTATCTCCTGGCCCGGCACAGACTAGCAGAGCTCTGGTGGCGTGGAGCATGACAGCACAGGGCAGGTTAATGGTTAACGGTTGGACTTGATGATCTTAAAGGTCTTTTCCAACCTACACGATTCTATGATTCTATGATTTCCAGCCCCGTCCTGCGCCACCACGCCCGAGCAGACTAGCGCCGCGATACGCACACTCACGTTCTTTTTGGGTTCCTGCCCACCCCACCGAGTCACCTGCAGGCACTACAAAACCAAGCGCACTTGTGAGTGTCCTTCCTGGAAGCACCCCTCACCCCCCAGAGCGACGCCTCCCTCCGCGTGAGGCTTGACGATGGCTTTCTGTTCTTCCAGTGGCGCCCTCCCCATTGACCTCGGACACCGCTGCAACCAAGGTCTTACCGGTGCGTCCATTAAAGCTCCCAAAAACCCATTAGATTATCTAAACACGCATTTTAAGAGAGTTTCAAATATTACTTCTTGCATTAATCATGAATTTTAAGAGCTGTCACAATCTATTGGCCACATATGTAATGGATAAGAAAGAAAATTGTGTCATAAATACTCTTTAAAAAGCAGACTAAGAGGATTAAATGCAATACGGTTCCCATCACGCCCCTAAGATCAATTACCAAAGTGGCTGTGCTATTTGAAGAGAGCTCCCAGATCAGGCCAGTTCCCACTGCAAGGGTGAGCTGTGCTACTTTTGCAGACTCAACAGTCTTCACCCCTGTTTATTTGTAGAATAACCACAAAGCTTCTCAGCTGCTCTAACACTGCGCTACTCCCAATTCCACCGTCGCCGCACACCGTCGGCGCCCCCATGCATCCCTGTCTGTCCTCTCCATCTCCACGTTTCTCACTGGGTTACTTCAGGAATCCTTGGATGGTTTCTTCGTATTTCTTTGTACAACACCTTGCACAGCGAGACCCACATTTTAAATATTATCACTACATAACAAAAGGAGATTTTTGGGTTTAACAAATAAGATGTTATAAACAAGAAAGCGGTCTCCTCTCTTCAGACAGGAGTAAATCAAAACACATGCTGCAATTCCAGGATGTTCAGCTTGACAGAGGTGTAGGCAAGGCTGACAAAAGTATAACTTCAAATACAATAGAAAACCAGATTCTCTTAATTTTCCATAAAAATCAGTTCCCTCTTTTTCTTTTCATTTTTTTAAAACATATGTTCATACTCAAATACACCTTAGAAGAATGATTTTTAGCTAGTCACCTGTGGATCCTTGGAGCACCCAGGTATTATTTTCCAAGGACCCGAAAACACTGACCAAACTGTATCTCCCAAAACTGTGCAGTCACCAAGAACCTGATTTTTTAGCAACGTCTGCCTCCCCTGCAGAAAACACGCAGGATTCCACAACTAGAAACCACTGACCTAAACTAGTCGCAAGGACTTTTCCACCCCTGTGTCCTACTTACTTGTCAGAGGATGTTGAATGGTTCTCAGGCCCTTGCAGATCTCTCAGAATGTCCGAGCTGGAGCTGAAGGGGAAAATAAACCAGACATAAATTATTTTAGTAACACCTACAGCAAAGCAGGGCTCCGCTCCGCGGAGGCAGCACGTTCCATGGATGAGACAGCCCCTCCACACAGCACTGGCAACGAGAAGCCATTTCAACCAACAAAACCCAATTTCAGCCAACAGCACCGTCCAGAAAGTTCTGGCTCTGCATCACATCATTTTCACAGTTATTACTGGGTCTCGTTGTCGTTATTTAACATAGAATAGAGCTCTCTCTGTTCCGGTCTGCTTGTTGGTAACCACAATAGCTTTATATTCACAGGCACCAGGCAATTTCTCTGGAGAGGATCTGCAAGATACTTCGGCGGGTGAAGCACAGCATTTCAAAGAGGGAAGGTGCTTGCAACCTCAGAACACAAGGCTTAGGTGTACGCTTACATTTTGACCATAACAAAACAAACAAGCAACAAAAAATAAACATCAAAGAAAGAAAACCCTTAACACTGAAATTTAGTGACAAAAATCCAAACTGCCAAGGCTGTCGGCACATCCAGATGAAAGCCAAGTGACACACGCCTGGGCAGCCACCATGGGAACCCATCACACCAAGAGGTGGCTCATTTTGAGCCGCACGAAGCAAGTTTCCCACGTCAAACCTCCCTTCCGAGGAAAAGGCACAATCCAGAGAAGGGAGGAAAGCAGGCGCCGCACGGGGCCATAACAAGCTCCAGCTGCCACCTGCCCCCCAAGTAAAATGGGTTTGCTCTGCAGTTTGATCACACGGTCTGAAAAGGATACAGCCGGCCACTGAAAGGTGTATTCCATACAGCTCTTTATTTCTTAATTAAAATAAAGAATTTCAAACTTTCACGGATGCTTCTCTTAGACAAGATTGCCTTTTTCAGGCATCTCCGTGCCTCGGGTGCTGCAAATTGAGGTGAGTGAGGATTGAATCTGCACAGATAGATGTTTTCTGGAGCCTCCCTTTCAAAAAGATGCCTGGCAGCTCGGGCTGAACATCACTGCAGAAGTCACATAACAAGCTGTTTACGCTAGCAGTCAGGCAACTTAAATTTAAACCATGGGACAGCAGTTGGATACCCGTTCCCTTGGATTGACTTTAAAGATTTTACAAGAAAAATAATCCCCTCTTTGTCTGACAGCAGCAGAACTAAATAGTAAAAATATATCCCTGAAGTCATAACTCTGTGCACAGATGTAGCGAGCTGAGGTGTTTGTTCAGAATGCACATCAAGGAAAACAGCCCAGAAACCCCCATGCGCACAGGGCAGATTCCAGCCTGGCACTGCAGAGTCCTGGCAACGCAGACAACTGCTGAGGTTCACAAATGGCATTTCTGCCAAAAACACCATTTAAGAAACAACACATCTCGCGCGAGAGAGATTGTCTTGGTACAAAAGATCCGCGGAGTGATTTTACTGGGCACTTTTCAAAGGCAGAGCCACATCTGCCGTCCCGGGGGCGGCCGAGGGCGGCCCGCTGCCCCTTTCAGCCCCAGGCAGCCAGCCCACCTCCCCGGCGTGCCTGCTTTTACCATTTCAGCATCATTTGGGATGGGTGAGGAGCACTTTGTGCGAATACAGGGTAAGCAGCACTCCTTACCAAGAGCAGAGGTGACTCTCTGTGACCTCTCTGTGAAAAGCAAGAGCGGCTCTGCACCATATCCCATCTCCCCTGCGCGGACAGACGTCCAACGTCTCAGCTCATTGCCTGGTTCACAAATTTGAGGCCAGGAGTCAGAAGTTCACTGCAACACTTTGTATTCATAACATATTGCATCATTAGAGAAAAGACAGTGATTCAAGCAGGAGAAGCAATTTACACCCAGCTAACGCCATGGGGCAGGTGACAAGGCTCAGGGCGCCCGGAACGGCGGGGGCACAGCCCGAGCATTCAGAGGGCCCTCGGGGCACGCCGCCTGCTTAGGTGGCCAGCGGAGGAGCGCGTTGCTGGGCTGCTCCTGCTCAGCCGTACGGTTTTTCCCCACCACCCTGGGCTCTCCGGACCACGCACACACTTTCAGTGGCTCCCGGTCCCCCTGCCCACTGTGCCAGCACTGCGGCTTCTCCGTGCCCATGGCCTCGCCCCCGAGCCCCTCATCAGCCTGCATCTCTCCCAGCAACACCAGCCAGTGTGGCCTCCCAGCAGGACCACAGAGCATCGCTTCCACCACCTGAACGTGCCCCGAACAGAGCCAGGATTCAGCCTCAGAGATCTCCATGCCCTTGGGGTAACGCACTAGAGGGGAGGCTGGGAATCCCATGCAAACATACTTTTTTTTTTTTTTTTAGCTTTTCTTAAATAATTTAGTCAGTGGCAGGCAACTCTTATACGATGGCAGGATTTTTTTCATCCATTTGCATTTTGTCTCCTCCGGTTGCCTGTTCCCCCCTCTGAGATGAGATCCTTCAGATGTTACTGTGGCAGTAACTATAGAACCGCCAACAGGATTTCATGGGAGAAAAACACCACCAGATGAGTTTAGAGAAACCTTTAGTACATGCACATTTAGTCATAGAATCATAAAGGAAAAGAATGTTTTGGGTTGGAAGGGACCACTAGAGGTCATCGAGTCCAACCCCCCTGCAGTCAGCAGGGACACCTGTTACCAGCCTGCCGGTCTCGCTTATCAGCGGGGGTACACTCTCTTTAACCTTCCTTTTCCGGCTGATATACCTGTAGAATCCCTTTTTATTATTCTTTGCATCCCTAGCCAAGTTAAGCTCCAGCTGCGCCTTCGCCTCCCTGACCCCATTCCTACACAACCGGACCACTTCCCTATACTCTTCCCAGGATGCCTGTCCCTGCTTCCACTGCCTGTGCAGTTCCCTCTTCCTCCTTAGCTTGACCAGCATCTCCTGTCTCAACCACGCTGGTCTCTTCCCTTCTTTGCTTGATTTCTTACACCTAGGGATCGATAGCTCCTGCGCTCTGTGGACCACTTCCTTAAAGATCTGCCAGCTCTGCATAAGGATAAAAAGGAAAAAGATACCAAAAATATACACAAAGCACTGATGCCAGATGGAGAAAATGATTTTGAAACAAAATGGATTTAAAAGTTTTGTGGGCAATTTTAGAAGCTCTGCAATGATTCCCCAGGAACTCGCTGAACAGATCTGTCGAATCACAAACATTACCCAGCGGAGCAGTTTTAATATGGAAACGAAGTCACCTGAAATTAAAGTTATAGGGAAAAATGCTTTATCCCTGCACCAATTACCAATACCACGGCTTAGAGCAACAGGGAGAGGAGCAGGCACAGCCCAAACCCCAGCCCCATGTGCGAGTGCTGGGGGGAGGCAAGGAAGCCCTGGGCCAGGCATCGGGACGCGGTGTCCTCCCAGTTGCTCCCCAAAGGACGAGCTGAACAGGGCTACGCCTCGGTGACACAACTGCCTGCTGGATCCGGCACGTGAACCATGCTCCTTGGTTACCACGCTTGCCTCTTCCCACAGCTGGGACTCAGGAAACCATTTAAATTTCTTACTTCAGCACCGAAGCCCATAAGCAATGTTAAAGTGAAAACCACGGTAAAACCCACTGTAAAACCATGGGGGATGGGGAAAGTTTTGAAGTCCAGCTTTTTTTTTTTCTAATTCTCAAAATTGTAAGTCTGTCAAAAACTTATTTTCGGTACACAGACTGGATGCCCAAGGAATGAGTTATTATCTTATTATCATACTTCCAAATCCTCCCCCGATGTTCCAGTGACATTATAAAAATTAGGGGGGGGGAAGAGGACAAGGGGCTATTTGTGTGCTTTTAGTCCCCTAAAATAGAAAAAGAACAGGTTTGATGCCCGAACATGATGTACTTCCTTGCCTTGAAAAATGTAGCGTTATTAGCATTTATCACCATGTTTGTCACAAGCAAAACAATAAAAGTGAAAAAGTTTGGCTAACACTCAGAACCATAATGCAAGCTGATAATTTGCATGTGGAATCCACAGACTTTGCCCACCACAGTATTTTAAAACTGAGCACAAGATGTACTGGAGCAGTTACCACCTTAGCCCAGACGTGTAGATGTGACCGGGCTCTCGGCTCGAGGAGCTTCGCAGCCCCCAGCCAAATCAGCTCTCACGCTGCATTGAGAGACTGAGGATTTACAAACGTAACTGCGCAAAGCCAAGCGGCGGGGTTGGGACCTTCCCAGCTGTAGCCAAAGAGCCCTTTGTTTCAGAATTTCTTCCACCAACCCATCGTTCAGATGGAACAGTTCTCTCCATCCAGTCGCTCTCAAACACCAATTGCTTTTACAAAGACTGAGCAATTGCTTGCTTTTGAGCTGAAGTAATTACATACCTTTCTTCCACATGCAGGGGGAAAAAATCTGTTTGCAAATTAAATAAAATTCCGGAAAAATGCCAGACAGTAGAAAAACATTTTTTTTTCCCCCTGAAGAAAACGCCTAAGCTCTTCTTATCATTGAATGAATTCACTTAAACTGAAGAAAATGAATTAAACCAAAAAGAAATAGCTACCTCATTACGTCTGTTGTTTCTATAAATTTAAGCCTGGGAGGCCCAAAGAGATCACGGAATTTAGAAAAGTTTTGTTCATTTCTTCAGTATTTTCTGCCTTCTCAATATCCCACAGATATTGGCCTATACTGGGGCCAGAAAGCAAAACACATCTTCAGACTTTATTCCGACTCCAAACCCAAGACTATTTCCCACAAAAGGTTTTCTGCTCTTTTCTTTAATATCGGTCATTATTCTACCCTAAGATTTTGCATATCACTTCCAGATGAGTAAGTTTTTATAGCAAAACCATTAAAGTTCTGAAACTTAACTGCTCAAGATGCAACAGGCTTACAGACAAGGTGGCGGGGGCGAAGAAGTTTCAATTCCTGGGCTTATTCATGTCTCCGGGTTGAGAAAAGCGCAGCTCCAGTGACTCGGGCAAGTCCCCCAGCTCTGCCTCGCTCTTCTGCAGGAACGGCTTCTTCTGGGCATTTACAGATCACCAGCAAGGAGCGAATGATTACCTTCTCGAC